GAGCCATAGGCCGTACGCTTTAAATATGTTCAAAGCATTAAACCGCCAAAATGCTAGCATAAACATATGAGTCTGCACTTCAAGACTGAGTGTGAACAGCTCTGAGGTTGTGAGGCAGAGATTCCGAGAACGAGACAAATATTGATGATTACTTGAATCTTTTTCAAAAGTTTGGTACACGTTGTACTAAAGTATCCATATTGAAGACTTAAAAAGCATGCGTGCTCCAAAGCAAATCCCGAGATATGAAGTGCTTATGCGAACAAATCACATCACAAAAGAAGAGCAAGAGTCAGGAACAAATTTCATAACTGCTTCTTACACTGTTTGGGATATGAACGTTAAATCCACTAAGTGCCAGTGCTGTGTCAACTTCTTTGCACAAACATGCATAAGCACGCTGACCAAAGGTGATGATATTACTAAGTAAGTCTCGGGACGAAAGGTTCAGTACAATAAAACCGAAAAATAATTTAAAGAAAGGCACGGTCGTTTTGAAGAATGCAATGTATCGAATCAGCAAGGGCAAGGAGACGGTCTGCTCTGTTGGCAGTACCAAAATATACATATAATTTCGCAAATGAATGAGGAACCTATACTTAGATCAAGGAAGGGGCATTCATTTACTGTGCTCCACCAAACATATCGCCGCTAACTCAAAGCGACCGTTTTCGTGGTTCGGAGGTCACTTTTCGTGGACGATATCGTGAATGACCTGAATTTTACCGAAGGTCATGAATTTACAAACTACATGATTATGCTGGTTCATCAAGAGTTTTGTACGGGGCTATTATTCACCAAAGACAGGACAACTGTTGACCAATTAAATATAATTTATTCCATATATTGAAAGTTAAAGTTTTATTTTGATCATAAATATTTTGAAATGGTTTCTAAAATTCATTTCAATTCTGTATTTTCTTCTTCAACAAAAATGACCTTTAAGCTAAGTAGATTTAACCGAAATAACGGTTAACTCTCTCCATCTCATGACCTTAATGATTAATTCAGTTTGGCTGAAATGTCCACAGTTCTGATAAATACTTCGCCCTTTGCTTATTCCTTTTTTTGTACAACTACTGAAGCGTAATTTTCATCAAAATATTTTAACTTCATTAACTTATAAAAGAACTTATTAATTGTCTACACTCCACGTAGAATCGCCCTCTTGTGCGAACGCGTTGCTTCATGCCGCGACCGATGACGGGCTTAATGCCAGTAGAGTTATTTCCTTGGATACGCAATTAATGAATCATTACGCTGGTGATATGCATCTTCTGGTCTCCTTCCTGACTTTAACGCCGTTTCTAGTTTTGCATTCTGAGCACAGAGCGAGCTTCGGTCTTGTCCACTCTGACCACTGGCCATTAACTGCTTTTGGCGGATCATTGGCTGGCCATGGAACGCAAGCGCCATTGATACACCACTAAGATAAACTAAAAATTTACCTCCATCACTAGCGCTTTATGTGTATTAATTGCATATTACATTTTTCCCACCGCACCACGTTCCTTCCAGGGCTGGGTGTGCCGTAGACAAGGTCGCCCCGCCGTTGCTGCACCACAGCACGTAACAGAGTTCCTGAAAACGGTTGTCAGAGTGCGCAAACCTTCATTAGCAAATGAGTAACTTCTCTCGTCTTTCCGTCAGGGATTTCGTTGCGAAAATCGCTTCCCCAGAAAAACGCGCACTGCTGATCAGCCGTGTA